CCGCATGCACGGAAGGTCAAGAGCCCGGTTGCATAACAGCAACATCCAGTGCTGGTACGTCAGTCGACCAAGATTTTTCCTTCCTTTTTTTTTTTTTTTGAATTTGTTCTGCTTTATGATTATGTTTTAATTGACAGCCATATTTCATAGTTTACAAGTCTGATGCAAACACGCAGCTTGAATTTAATTGGAAATCTGAACAATGATTTTAACAGGAATTTTTAATGGCCAAAAGAATTGGGCATGTACAGTGTTGTGTTTTTACGGCTACTAGTGAAACTAGTGCTGAAATGAGGGTCTTGGACGTATGAATGTTCTGGGTAAACCAACAGATCTGTGCACCTTGAAAGCACAGCCAGGCTATAGCTTTTCTCACCTCGTCATGTGCCATCAAGGCCATACAGCTAAAACCAGAGTGTTATCTCAGCAGTGTTATTTGTTTACTGAAGGTAAAAGTTTTGTATGCCTCTTTTTGTATTGTTTTGTTTTCAGAATCTCCATTGTGGGTGTTTTTATTTTTTTTTCTACTTTTCATTTCTCTAATTAATCAGTTTTAGAAGTGGGGTTCTCGCCAAAATATTTGGTTTTAATTTTGATGGGTTTTTTTCTTTTAAAATGAAATTGGAGGGTTTTTCTAAAGTTTGTCGTACCTCTTTTCATAGACTAGTGTTTCTTTTGTTGGGATTAAGTTGTTGCTCAAGTCCCTTGACTATAAAGTGTGGTGAAGTAGGGGGTGTGGCTTCAGTTGTCACCGTGTTACCTTGTTCTCCCTCGTTTTAAAGAGGAGCTACTCTAAAAAATGTGCCTCCAAGAAGCACTGTTGAGCCATTGATGGGGATTCAAAACAACAGACCTGGAGGTCTATTAGGTCATTTAAACCGCATGTGCACTTGAATGATTATCTGTCCGGTCACCCTGTTTTTAATTTCACATCTCATCCTATGTGAACTTTCGCTTTTGAGGAAAAGCAGCATATTGTGTGTTTGTATTTCCAAGCAACACGCGAAGGTTCTCGTTCACTTGTAGATCTGACTACACAAACCAAAGCACACTTTTTTCTCTCAATCATATTCACAAATGGTTACAGAAGCATCTCTCAAGAGGCTTAAATTAAGGGAAAAAATGTTTTATCATCCTCCATTCATCGTGGATTCTATGATCACATCTCGTTTGTGTTTTCACAGAGGTGTGTAGTGTGTCTTTACCGATTGTAATGTACCTAACGAAGCCTTAGATTACAGTTAATGGGTCCCGGCCCAATCAAATGTACTTTCAATCACCGTGCAGGTAAAGAACACCAATGATGTTTTATAGTTCTGTCACGTGGCGCTTATGATCTCTTCTTTTTGTTCTTTCTCTCTGTGTAACAGTAACAATTACTCTCTTAAATTTCATTGAACTTCTGTGTTATGTACTACTTAAGGATTTGAATCTATTTGAGGTATGTAGTTGTAGAGTTTTCTTCTTTTTTTTTTTTTTTTTGCCTTACTATATATTACTTGACGACATTGATATAGCCGTAGTAGATTTTGAGGTAGTATGACATTCATAACTTTTTCAAACCATATAATGGATAATGTGTTGAGTCAGTTTTAAATATTCACTTCATTCATAGAGCTGGATGTCTTTTTCTTTTTCAGATGATGTTACATTGTCAGTTCATTTTGTGGATGAAAGACTTTTTTGATACAAGGAATGAGATCAGTTGATTTGCTGCCACTGCAGATGAAAAAAAAACAACTAATGTTTTAACCAACTTAAATTTTCCTTGTAACATGTCAAGATCATGTTTGAAAATATATTGTATTGAAATATAGATTGTCCATGTTTTAGAGTAAAACTTATTTTCTACTGTATCCATTTAAAAAAAAAAAAAAAAAAAAAAGATATGTACTTTTGTTTGAATATTTCTTAAGTTTGCCCTGAATGTCAGGCCAAAACGAGCAGCGAGGTTGACGGGTCTTTGGATGTGTGTTGGGTCGTGAGATTGGCAGCGAGAAAGCAAAGACTTTCCCAGACCGGAGAGGTCGGAAATGCTGCAGATGATGAGTTCTAACCTAAGGGACGAAGGTTGACTTTTTGCACTTCTGTATATAGTCAAATGAACAGAGAAAAAAAATGTGTATCATATTGAGATATTATTTTGAATAAAAAAAAAAGATCTATAATTATAAGGAATTTTGTTAGATTAATTTAAATTCTTGAATTAGAAGACCAGCTAAAAAAAAAAAAGCAATTGCTTGCAAAGAAGGGCACCAGTTTCTTGGCCAATGCATTCAGAGAAAGCTATGCGCTTTTTGTCTTATTTTATCAGTAGTATTGCCAGGGAATGTCGAAGGGGAATAGATACCCCCGCGTCATGCTTACTCCACCCCTCCTGTGGGATGACATATCCATATATCAGTTGTTAGACTTGGTCATGCAGTATTGCTGCTCCCATGGCACAGTTGATACATTAAACTTTCAAGATGTGTACTCTATTCTAATTTGATTTGACTGCATGTAAAGGTAAAAACATGTAAATGCAAATAAAACGCATAGTTATGTAAAGAAAGATAACTCATTCAGATTACAGAATACATAGCAATATGTTGTGGGGGGGGGGGGGGGGTTACACATACAGTAGATAACATCCACAGCAGGGAGAAATAATACTTCAAAAACAAGTCATCTTACTCTTGTGTGATAACAATATTTTCCATGCAAACGTGTTATTTAAAGAATGATCAAAAATATTAGCACTCATCCACCCCCAGATACTTTCTCATAGCCATATAATGACAGTCGACACTGACTCACGGGAAGCTCTTCCTGCTATCACAGCTGTGCACTCAGCAGGCGAAGGCTTGCCGCACCAAATGCGTATTTGGAAAATTAGTCTTTGAAATGAATGTACCAGTCGACCGGTCGCCGTGCTTCTGGCCGGAGGCTGCTGTGTTTAGTTGCTACAGAACCAAAGCACCATTTTCTCCAGTCTGCTGGCTGGAGCCATGGTTTCTCTTCCCTGCTGGGGGCACATGTATGCTTTGACTGCTTTTTACTTGTAAGTGCAACCATCGATTATGTATTTGCTAACAGTTGCCACACAATAATGTACTATTCTGTCTTCAGATTTGTTGATGCACATTTTATTGTTGCCATAATTGACTCGAAAATCTGAAATCTGAATAAAACAATATTTGATTTGCTCATGCAACAGGTGTGTGGTCACTGCCTCTGTGTGTGCTGGGTGTTTCAGATGTTTGCATCCAACTTGATATTTAATAACTAATCAATATGTGTTTATTTCCCACTACATTTTGGCAGCTCATACTATGTGAGGGGGAGAATGTAGGAGAGCGTATTCGTCATTGTTTCTGAACTTCAACCTTGAGGGTTCAATGTCAGCGAGACTGGAGCAGCTCCACAGAGACCGATATTATTATTAATTAAATTGATCTTGCTGCAGGGCAATCTTCATGACAATGTGTGGTGTATCTGGGTCAGAAGCGGGTCCTATTCCATCAGGGGTCTTATTTCTATCTTTCGGAGAGTGTAGCCTGTAGGGTTCAGACAGAATAGGTTCCTTATTCGTACAGTGAGGCGTGTTTGCCAGATGTGAACAAAGGAAGTCGCACCTCCAAAATTCAAAACACCACAACCTGCGTTCACTCCCAAATCTAATGACAAGAAAAACTAAATCTTTCTCTGCTTTTATCTTCATAATCTCTTCAATCTATAACTCAACCTCTCTGTTACATTAACGTAGCATTGGTCGGGCTTCTTATCCTCATTATGTTGTCATGGAGTATGTTAGCAGGATATTATGTTGCCATGTGTCGTCTATCAGATCTGATGATATCGGATTATCACAACAGATTTAAGCACAATAAACGATAAAAAAAACTCATGGTTCCTGCTATAGAATTGAGTAATCTGATTAGATTCATTCACACAGCATTGTATTTAATCATTGTCAAATACTGCTGTACAATCTCATGAAAACACATCTGTCTAAGAATAAATAAACATTAAGAATCTAAATATATTATTCTAACATGAAAAATAAAAACAACTGTCCATGTCAGTAGTGGAATGCAGCTAATTACATTTATTCAAGTGTTTGAGGTACTTGAGTATTTCTATTTCATGCTACTTTATAATTATTTTTCACAACATTTCAGATGGAAATGTACTTTTTACTACTTGATATTTATTTTATCTTTACTGACTGAGATTTGACATCAAAATATATATTGTTTACTACTTTTGATACTTTTACTTACGGACATTTTCAATGCTTGTTTTGTAATAGAGTACTTTTTATGTTGCAATATTGCTGCTTTTACTCAAGTACAGGAAGTGGTGATAGTTAAATACGCATAGCCAAGTGTTGTGCTTGAGTACAATTTTAAGGTACTTAAGGGCCTCATTTGAGTATTTCCATTGTATGCTTCTTTATACCTCTACTCCACCACATTTTGGAAGCCGATATTGTATTTTAATTACTGTTGTCATTTCTAGTTACTTTGCACATTTAAATTATGAATTCAAAATATAAATCAACAAATAACTTATTATATATTACAATAGGTTAAACTACCCAGCAGAAAGTAAAGTAATTAAAAAAATTAGCTGCAATATTATAGTAGTGTTTACACAAAAATATATATATTAATATGATAAATATATGATTGGGACATTCTGCATAATACTTTTACATTTGGTAGCCCACTGTTCAGTATATTTTCACGCTAAAACTTTGGTACTTTTACTTGAGAAATATTTTAAATGTTTTTACTTTTATTTGTAGTATTTTCACGCAGTAATTAAAGATGTGAGTTCTTCCTCCACCACTGGTCCATGTGGTGAAGGTAAGTAAGATGATATATGTAAATTTGCTAATTAATGACCTCATTAGGATGCATTATCATGTATAATCATAATTACAGGGACAACGGGCAGCTCGAGAGCCTCTTGTTGAGAGCAATGACTGTGAGCGTGCACGCGAGGGGCAGAGGTCACGCAGACCGGGCCGCAGACACGCGCACGCGCCTGCAGTATCCGTCGGTCACCTGATGTCTCCGACTGAGTGGTTGTTGGTTTTTTTCGGGGTGACGGCTCCTTTAAGAAAACGGAACTGAGTCTCGGCTTTTGACGCGCTCGAGGATGTGGGCAGGAAACGCCGCGCGAGAGGAGAGAAGCGATCACGCTTCCCAGCGCCGTCGTTGCACAATACGGTCGGACCAAATTGTGCTATAATCCTCCCCGCTAATGTCCAGGCGCGGTCGTTCTCCTCGGATCTGCGCTCCGCGGGCCGTCACAGAGCGGACTGGGAGGATTCCACGGCGTGGGGTTTGACTCCTAACCGAGCGAGAGGGAAGCCTTCCCTGCCTGCTCGATTTGAAAACATCGGGGCTGGTCAGCGGGTGGGAGAGAGAACAGGCTTCGTAGCTGGAAAAAAAAAAGGAGGTGTCTTGTCTATCTTACCCCCCCACGAGCCATGAGGGAGTACAAAGTGGTTGTGTTGGGGTCGGGTGGAGTCGGCAAATCCGCGCTGACGGTCCAGTTCGTGACGGGCTCCTTCATCGAGAAGTACGATCCCACGATAGAGGATTTCTACAGGAAGGAGATCGAGGTGGACTCGTCCCCGTCGGTGCTGGAGATCCTGGACACGGCGGGGACCGAGCAGTTCGCCTCGATGCGAGACCTGTACATCAAGAACGGCCAGGGATTCATCCTGGTCTACAGCCTGGTGAACCAGCAGAGCTTCCAGGACATCAAGCCGATGAGAGACCAGATCATCCGGGTGAAGCGGTACGAGCGGGTGCCCATGATCCTGGTGGGCAACAAGGTGGACCTGGAGGGGGAGAGAGAGGTGTCTTCCGGGGAAGGCAAGGCGCTGGCCCAGGAGTGGACCTGCCCGTTTATGGAAACTTCTGCAAAAAATAAAGGCTCGGTCGACGAACTGTTTGCAGAAATAGTCCGACAGATGAACTATTCCACTGTTCCCAGTGGTGGCAACCAGTGCTGTTCATGTGTCCTGCTCTAAAAGAAACAACAACAACAACAACAACAACATACAGACACAAGTGCATCCGTGCTGAATTTGAGCTTCTTAACTTGTCCCTGCAGGCGTTTTGCATATCTATTCTCTCTCCTCACACTGTTGTCTTATTGTTGCACACAACACACAAATCAACGACGACAACAATCGATTATGTATTATAGTCTGGAAAAGTGTTTACATGACAAAGTACTTGAATGTTTTGGGATTTTTTTTTATATAGCTTTGTATATGACACTTCTCTGGAAATGTGCCTCGATGGGAATGTCTTATTGTGAAACCTAAGAGACACTTGTTGTTGTTTTTGTGTGGTTTTATTTCTTAAGTTGTACTGTTACATCTTCTAGGCCGGGGTCCATCTGTCTGGGGGAGGGGGGGTCACTTTGCGCGTCACTTTTAAGGGGGTATGCTTCTTTGGATTTGTCTACTTCTTCTTTTTTTTGCCTGAGAGCAGCAGACCTGAACGCGCTCTTAAACGCATCAATCACCACTCAAGCCTTGCACAGGTTACTCAAATAAGATCTCAATTTATTTCCCCCCAAAAAGGTCAGGTGTGATCCAAGAGGCCGCAGATCGCCACCCACTCAAGATACTGTATTTTAAGCTGTAGACTTGTGTTAGGACTTTATATTCTAGTTTGTACCCCCCACTGAAGTGGATTTATCACGGAACTTGCACTTAGCTGACGGTGCCCCTCCTCAGTGTGCACAAACGAGGACCTTCAGTGCATTGCTGTCGCTGCATGGGGAACAAACCCATGTCAAGTGCCTTCCCCAAGAAAACTCCTGTGACTGTGCCAACCGATGAGCCCTATACTTCTTCTTCTTCTTCTGCAGCGCGTCTTGATGGCAATCAGAACTTTTTAGCAGTTTCCAGTGAACAATCTACTTTTGTTTGGTGTCAAAGTGAAAAGAGGCTGAGCTTGTACCAGACCTGCTGTTTCAGGGTCCGGTTCAGGCCGTTTCTCGAGGTACTAGTCCAACAAGAACAACAGAGCAACTTTAACCTACTAGCATTAGGGTTCGGCGAAAGGCAAGCCATGTTTGTCCGTTCTTATCTAGATTCTTTTTCTTTTCTTTAAAGTGACATTTGTGACTTATGGTAATTGTTAATTCTCCATTTGGACAAAATCTTCTGCCGTCCACCTGTCGGTTTGAAAGACTTGTAATACAGAAAGCATTTTACGTAACGCTGTGTACTGTGCTTGTCTCTGCTGATGACATAAAGAGTCTTCATTTTGGGGTGCTTTGAATGTGATTGTCCCTGTGAGTGGCCCATGAATTGATCAGCCAACAAATGTATTAACTGACAACTGATTAACAGTTCAAGTAATATATGAAGGGAACAAAAAAACATTTTCTAGTTCCAGCTTCACCAATGTCAAGATTTGCGGCTTTTCTCTGTTCATCGCCGTGAGCTCATATTGTCCAATACGTTTGAACATCATACAAAATATTGTGATTTAATTTAAAAACAACAAAGTTTCATCATAATTAGTTGCCTTTTCTTGGTATTTAGATATCATGTGGTGAAAGGCGCGGCACTAGAAGCCTTATTTGACACTTCTTTACAAAAATGAAAAAGAGTTGCAGGTTTTGAATGCTTACTGAATAGCCTTCAACACCTCGGTCGTGTTATTGAGTAAGTGATCGTGGCCCCTGTGCGTGAATAAGAAAAAAACCGTCTCTTCCCAGTTGTTTGGGTAGTGGGTTGGGTTTCCAGTAAGAGTGTTTTGCTCAGGGGGGGGGGGGACCGTTTCCCCTCTTCCCGCCGCATGTTTTCTAGGCTGTGGATCGGAGGACAGAGGGGGCTTTTCTGTCAGCCACACATACCGTCGACTGGTATTTTGTAAAAAAAAAAAAAAAAAAAACGTTCCTCAGACCAGCCAATGAGCTGCTGCCTCGAGTGTCCCTCTAACCGCAGAGATTCAAGGTCAGATTACCAAATTCGATCTAGTGACATGCTCACATGTTCAGGTCCTGTGTGAAGAAAAGGTTCGCTTCAATGAGCCCAGCAATGCCTGCCTTGTTTTCATCCCGTAGTCCTTTCATTAAAGATCTGTTTATTACTGCAGATTACTCCGGTTTTACCCAACACATGCTATCTATTTTCTTTCTATTTGATTGGGAAAATGTCTCCCCTTTAAAATGAATAAGACTTTTCAGCAGAAGTGCGTAGACACAGCAGGAGATGAACTTACGGAGATATTAAGTAGCATGCAGATGGGAATCACACGTACAGCTCGTACTCAGACGTGTCGTCAAAAAAAGCAACAACCCTGCAAGATCGCTTTTATATTTTAGGACACAAAGGGAACAGACGGCACAAAAGAAGCTGCCAGATAAATGCGCAACCTGATTTAGTTGCTTAGCTACACATTTTTGATCCTAGCAAGTGGTCGAATGTGTTCACTTTGCTTCACAGATGTTAAATAATACGTAACTCAATGAGCAAACAGGACTACTGTCACTGCCGGTCAGTGGAAAGAACATTTTATCAACTAGTTGAATACAATTTTGAGGTTCTTGAACTTAACTTGAGTTTTTTTTTGTCATTTGTAGTTCTACTGCACTACATTTCAGAAGGACATGTTGTACTTTCTACTCTTATTTCATTCATTTGACAGCTTCAGTAACTAGCTCCAGATCAAGACTTTACATAAAGAAAACGTATAATCTACTTTTAGAGATTCATTTTCGGGTTGTTTATGAGTTGTTTACAATCGAAGAGAGATTTTCCCTGTAAATTTCACAGATTGTTTTATTTAAACTTACTTTTAAAGGCTCAAAATTGTAAAAAACAAACAAAAGAAAACAAATATAAACATATACGGATATATATATATATATATATATATCAGATGTTCAGTACAAATGTGTACAACATGAATACAAATTTACACAGATTTATATTTTTGTTGTTAACTGAACTACAAATAGAGTGGTTTGAACTAACTCCACTTTAACTAGCTTAACTAACAGTTAAATACATTATACATTGATCAATATTAACAATTTAATATTAATACTGATTCCAAAAGAAGATCCTGATGAAGCACTGTTATTTAAGAGGTTTGTAGTGGTTTTACTGAATGTTTTACAAAAGCAAAGTGCTGCTCATCTTACGGTTGTTGAAATAAAGTAGCTAATCGTATTTTGGCATTACTTCTATAACTATAGAAATAATATAGAAATATATACATGTGTGTTACAAATACAGTTTTCAAGCTGCTCCTACGCCTTCGGAGCTGGAGGTTTGCCTAAAATCTGACACCATCTTGTGCTTACTGCAATATTACACAAACCTTCCTCCTGAATTTGAAAGATCTGCCTGTTCGGCTTAGTAGATGTGTAATACATGTGAGATAAAAGCAATCTTTCCTTTAGCATATATTAACCTGTTTTGTCTAAAGCTACTATGTCTACAATCTGTTAGTGATTCATTGCATGCAAACCTGTCAACCGCAGCTTTACTGATACGTTCTTACTCTTTTAGTGTGTGGAGGAAAGGAAGGGTGGATGACAGAATGCTTCCTGTGTTGCGGCAACCTCACCTCAGATCTGTGAAATGTTGAAACGGACACGCAGTTCCTTTTTAACCATTGAGAAATAAATGTTCTGCGTCGTCACAGCCTGTCCTCCCTCGGGTGCCCGTGACACAGGAACGTGGCCCCAGTCCTTAATGCTCCGAGAACTATACGTCCCTTGATCTGAAATCTTTGACAGAAAATGAAGGAGAGGGACACGACGGGGGAAAGGATGAAGAGATTTCACTCGTGTAGGTTGTGGTGCATGGCGTGCAATGGCTCCATGCGATGTGAGTCGAGCAAAAAGCCAGCAGGATCATGCGACACTAATTTACAGTAGTTGCCACGGCTGGTTCACTTTGAGCTTTTTGGACTCACGGCCTGAGAAAGAAATGGTAACATAGCAGCAAAAACACTGGCACCTTCCAACTACTGCAGACGTCTCACCCTAAAGCGCCTTCTCACTTTCGAATATTGAAAAACTTTCACGCCTTTAATATTGTTAAACCACATAAACTCAAACCAACGTGACAGCTGACATCATACACACTCAGTCTGACCCCAGCAGCAGAAATGGGTTCACCGTGTGAGAAAAAGGGGAAGTAGGAAACTCTTCCTTCATCATATGTCCTGTGTGCAAAGCTTGACTTGGGTTTTGCAATAGAAGTTGCGCAACTGCAGAGGAGAGTCTACAGTACGACGTCATACGGGGACTAAAAGCTGAGATGGCATGTTGCTATTTCCTTGGTTAGCTTATAGTTCTCATATTTTATACTCACAGTGACGCAGACGGACTTTTGCTGGTAACCACATGGAAGGTCAAGTGAGGTCATATGTTCACTCATACCCTTCCACTCTTTGTCTTGTGCACTTTCTTTTAGAGGTTCAATCCAAAGACTTATACCCATCTCATGTCTGTCCCTCAAAGCAATAGCTCAATAGTACGCTTATTTGCCTGCTTGCTGAGCGTTAGTTGGAGGGATCAATTCCACCCAATGCGTCTGTCCGCTACATATAAAGCTATAGCCAGCACTAGGTTAGCTTAGCTTAGCACAAAGACTGGAAACAGGAAGGAAATGGCAGTGTGCATTTTTATTTTTAGACTTGAGTCACTTTATTAATAAAAACACCTTATAATGGCAAACATAATATCAATACATGTACAGTTCTCAATGTACACACTTATCACAGGGTTTGCTTTATCGTCAACACTTTTCTGGGATTGTAAGAGTTCAAATGAAAGGGAAAGTTAAGCTTATTTTCATCAGAAGCAACCACCAAACTCCCTTTTAACTTACAGAGGGAATAACAAATGACCAATGAAGGTGTTGTAGATATTGCCATAGATCCAAGTGTTTCGCCAGAGACTTATGTACACCTGTTCTCCCACTTCAAGCTGTAGAGTCATGCCATTGGTGGCTGTCTCGAAGCGTTGTCCATCTCTTGCATGGTTGAAAGCAACAACCATCCGCTCTCCGTTCTTCATCAGAGCCAGCTCCAATGGTCTGGCTGAATGATTACAGCCAGAGAAGCTGAAGTAATAGACTCCTTTGACTGGAGCAGTGAAAATACCTGGGGATGATCAACAGAGGGTTACACCTGTTGTCGTTTCCATTTCATCCAGAGTCAACGGCAGTATTTATTCACCAAATGAACATGTATATCTATGAATACACGTTGTTATGGTACGTTTACCTGTTGCAGGGTTGTATGCGCCTGTGTTAAAGAAGACGCTCTTGTAGGTCAGTGTGAACTCAACGTTAAAAGGTCCGATATGTTCACTATAACCAAGAGATGCTCCAAACGCCACCCGTTTACCTTGAGAGGGTAGATGAAGTCATTATAATGTGTATTTTGTTTGAAGACAACTAAACCTGAAACAACCTGTAAACAATAAATGATACATACAGTAAACAAAGTCAGGATGAATGTTCTTACCTTGGACCTCTCTCCTCAGATCCTCGACTTGTTTCTCAGTGTTTTTCAGTTTGGACTCTAGTTCCCTTAAGATGACAACAAGTTGGCAGCAGTTTTTCTGGCTCCCAGTCAGGTCACATGAACAAATACCAGATGGCTCGATGTTTGGACTCTCTGTGCTGTTGCTCTCTCCTGCTCGGTGATCCAGCCGCTGCACCTCAGCTACACTAAGGTAGAAGAGGGATAAAGTCAACACAGCCACGGAGGTCTTCATCTTCCCCTTGCTTCTGCTTGTCTTGATCAGCTCTAACCACCATTCTTTATATACCACACGAAGAAGGAAATACCCTTGAATTTACCAGAACACCAAAGGCTGTTTTCTCATGCTGAGCGGCCAGACCAAACAAACTCTAATCAAGAATATGATACTGTAACTAAGTGCTTTGACAGTCAAAGCGGCAAAACAAGGCAATAAAAACAACAACAGGAAGCTCAGTGAGACAGTTGGATACGTTAAAAATAAACTAAGAAATAAATAAAATAAAATAATAAAAGATAAAAATAAATTAAATATATATATATACACATACACATACATACATAGATACATACATACACACACATATATACATATATACATATACACATATACAGTTGCATTCAAAATGCTTCAACCCCCGCACTGCAAATCAGGTCCATCCACAAAATCTACAAACCCCCGCCGCTCCCAATAAAGAACCCAAACAAGGACAACCCAAATAGCTCAACACAACCTTTGGTCAACAGAACCATATATTTGTACTTATAGTCTTCTTTTTCATTCACTTTAAAGATAAGGCTGGCTGGATATTTCAAAATTTGTGTTATTGTCAGCAATTCCCATGAAGAGACGTACATCAGCGAATAAGTCATGCTATTGACAACTATTGTCTTTGCAAATAAAGCCTGATTTCATTTATTCCTGTGTGCAATAGACCTCCATCATTGTCCAAAAACTGTGAATACACTTTGAGCCACACTGTTGCACTGGGTGACTATGTTACGATGAATTTTGAGTCAATCCTGATGGTAAGCCTACTAGCATCTATGATCAATTATCAACAGGTTGTATCACCTTTGTTTGATTTGTACTGAATCAGAAATGTGTTTTTTACAGGAAGTAAAGTGCTGTAACTACTTGTGCTATTTCAGGATATTGGACATTCGACAGAGCCAAGCTAACTGTTTCCCCTTGTTTTCCCCAGTCTTCAAGCTATTCACTTCTGGCTCTAGATCTGTACTTAACACACAAGCTTGTCACCTAACTAAGAAGGCAAATAAGTGTTTTTCTTAAAATGTCAAAGAGTAAATGAGTGAAAAAGAAAACTGGGGATTTGCATTTGAATTCTTCATCAGTCTCAGCCCCATTTTGTCTGGATGATGTAGTATGGCCAGAGAAGCTGAAGTAATAGACTCCTTTGAGGTGGAGCGGTGAAAATACCAGGGGATGATCAACAGAGGGTTACACCTGTTGTGCTTTCTAATTCATCCAGAGTCAAAGATAGTATTTATTCACCAAATGAACCCATAATACACATTATTATGGTAATATTACCTGTTTCAGGGTTGTATGCGCCTGTGTTTGAGTACACGTTCTTGTAGGTCAGTGTGATCTCAACGTTAAAAGGTCCATTATTTCCAACATTACCGATAGATGCTCCAAACACCACCCGGTTACCTTGAGAGGTCACATGTTATTAATCAATAACTGTTTATCTTGATCAGCTCTCCTGACTATGCTTCGTGTACCAGAAAAACATGTTTTCACTGAACTTTGGCATTTATCATTTATAACTTCAATGGTGGCACTTTATGGCAGCCCTAATATAAGGAACAGATAAAAAGAAGATATATAATAATATAAGAGGATAAAAGAAAGATACGACAGTAAATGATTCAGGGAGATATGTGCTTCAAACCAACAGCAAAATGGTCATATGATGATCTTTGAGGCTAAGAGAAGGCATTTGCACGTGATTGACCACAGTGGCTTCCACTTTGAGGGCCTGATTTTTCTAGCAGCGTTGCCTCCCTGCCTGCAGTAGTCAGATTGTGAACGTGTGAGTGAGTCATATGGTCTTGGAGGGAACAGTGAAGAAAAGACCTCACATATCCAAGGACTGAAATAGACTAAATGCTCTGCGTGTGCCTCTCACACTGAGTGGGAGGACACAGCAGACACACAGAGGTGCTCTCACATTCATCCAACGTCTCATGTTCATTTTCAGCCCATTTACCTGTACACTTAGGCCTGTGAATGAGTGATGTGCGTGATGTGCGTGCTGTGCATATTGGCATCCACTTCTATCCTCGCCATTTTTT